CAGGCTGGGCCCCCCCTTTCTGTGACACCAAAGGCTACGGAGGGAGCGTGGACAGTGGCCCTCCCTACAATGGCAAGTGGTGTGAGGGCTCTGGGGTGGGCTGAGCATCCACACACGTGGGGAAGGTTTGGTGGATGGCTCTGCACTGGGTTTCACCTGTGAACAGTCCTAGTGGAGGTTTTGGGCTGAAGGTGTTGCACTTCTCTCCCTTGCGATGCTGGGCTGGAATGTGTGAGGATCTGGGTTGGTTTAGTTCAGGTGATTTCTGCCACCTTGGGCTTCTCTGTATCCAGGCTGGGAAGGGAAGCTCCAGTGAAGGGGACCACGATTCTTGCATGTGAGAAAGCAAACTGACAGAGCAGGAAAGCTTACTTTGCTCACAGAGGGTTTGAAGATGAATTAGGAAGCCAAAGCCAATCTTTAGTTTGGAGAAAACTTGTGCTGTGTCCCTGTGGACTATATAAAGATGGGACTGTTTTAATAGCTTCTGTGAGCTGCAAGAATGATCTTGAAGACTGTTTTTCATAAGATGATGTGGGTTAGGGGAAAGCTAGACACTGATACAATAAGAGAGTGGATAATCACAGTAAGCATGGGCAGATCCCTCAAATCATCAGGCAAAAAAGGGAAAGGCTGTTTTTAGTACAGTCTGCAGGAGAGAAATTGCTGCATATAAAAAGGTAGAGATTGTTAAGAACCCGAGTTCTTTGCCTACAGCAAACAGTGGTTGGAGAAGAGGAAGATTTAGGATCAGACCAAAGAGCAGAAGCTCTGTTTTCCTCTCTCATAACATCTTCACAGTAATGAAAAATGAGGATTGATCTCCTAATTCAATATGCTGCTGTAGCCCAGGGTGTCATGGCATGTATGGCTCTTTCATCTTTGACCAGACAATCCCTGTGAAAAGATAAACAGAAAAGAATCTCTTTGGGCATTTATCTTGCAGCCTTACCAGGTTCTTTTGTTTTTCTTCTGTTAAAAAATGGAAAATGGCTGTAGAACCAATTCACTGCTGCTGTGAGTCAGGTGCTGGTGGTGACACCATGTCAGACTCATTTCTTCCCCATGGTTTTGTGCCCTCAGACAAGGACACCTCTCTGAGGAATGGCCTGCTGGTGTTCTTCTTCCTGGTGCTCCCACTCCTGGTAGCTGCTGCTCTGGCCTTTGTAAGGAGGGACAGGCTGAAGAGATGCTTCAGGAGGTTGATGTCTCGCTGCCATTCGTGAGTGCCTTCTCCTTCCTTCCTTCTCCTCTGCCCTTTGAACACCCTGTGGATGTTGTTTATACAACCCAGTGCCAAGGTGTGGAGGCATATCCCATTCCCAGGATGTCAGGCAAAGGCCCCTGCATCCAGTGACATGTGTAGCCTGCCCCTGGCAATGACAGAAAAGACAAATTCATCCTAAATCAAGAGAGCAAAGAATTTTCTCTTTAACATTATGTTTGTTGTCATGCACTGGAGATGGGGGTCTATATTTTTGGATCCCATCTTGGTATAAAGTGGCAAAGGGAAGCTCTCAGTCCTAAACAGAAAAAGGGTTGTTGTTTACTAGATTTGTGGTAAATATTATCTTCCTGACATTCGATGTGTAATAAGACAATATAAATCCAGCTGCCAGCATTCATGGCCTGCACAGTCACTGTTATGTGCTCACTCAGTCCCTATCCACGGATTTCAGGTCACTTCAGTCACCTCCTCCTCGGCCAGACACCGAACCCAGGGACTACCAGCACAGAGGCTTCTCCCACGGCACCCCTTACGCTCCAAGAGCTGTTCCCACGGTAGGAATCATCTCCTTCCCATTACTTGTTACTCTCAAGTAACAGATGACGGTATTTTATATCATTTTTTCCCTAATAAAAGCCTCAAAGTTACTTCTCCGTTTCTGGAAATGGTGTTTTCTCTTTGCTGAGAAGCAGAGGGAATACTTATTTCCTAATCAGTGGTCTTGAGTGTCACTTAACCAATGACACAAATATTTCGACTCCCTGCGTGCAATCTGTGAATGTTCCTGTTGTGTTTTCTTCACAGGATATGGATCCAAACACCTTTCCTGTCCCAGCTTACCCAGTTAACCAGCACCCTCAGCAGGCTTTCCACCAGCCCTACTACCCCCCTCCGCAGTACCCGGCGCAGCAGCCGCCGAGGCTGCCCAGCAGGTCAGTGGAGTTACTGCAGATTCCTGCTGGCACTGAAGGGATTTATCCCCCTGGCCCTTCATCCCCAGGAGCACTGGGGTGTTCCATCACGTGGTGTGTGCAGGCAGGGCTGACTTCTCCCCGGCAGAAGTTTCTCCTTCCCTTCACCCTGAGCTGCCGGGCCGTCACCCGCTGCCTTCATCCTGCCTGGTGATGAGCGGGGCTCAGCCCTGCTGGGGGGCACCTTTGCCCTGCTGGATGAAAGGTGGATGAAAGGCCTCTCAAAACAGGCAGTTTAAAAAGAAATTACTCCAAAATCTGTCACTTTGCTGATTCGTGAACGTTATGGCCAAGTGCAGGATCATTTCTCATCGCTTTGAACAGGAAGTTTTCCTCTATTTTTCATCTTCCTTCCAAAATGTGCTCGTGAGCTGTAATGCTGTGCCATGACACACATGGGCCTGGGAAGTGTTGGGTACTGAGGGGGAGCTCCTAGATGTAGCTTGTGTTGGTGGGGCACTTGGTGGGGGGGGTGGTCTTTAAATGATTTGGGGAGAAAAGGTGAATTTTAACAAACTGGGGGTCCCTGAGGGTGTCAGGCAGCGGAAGGCAGAGCCTGAGCCCATGGTGTGTTCCAAGGGAGTCCTAGCACAGAGGCCAAGACTGGGAGCAGTGGTGTGGTGGCCGGGGGCTCTCCTGCTGGGTGGGTGAGGGCTGTGGGTGGTGGGTGCAGCCCCCCTGACTGATGGCAGCTCCTCTGTCCTCTTGCAGGCCCCCACCCCCGCAGCAGAAGGTTGTACCTCAGGGGCCGCCACAGCAGAAATGTTTACCTCAGGGACAGTATTACCCTTCTCGACCGGCACCTTTGCCTCCCAAATAACTTCTGGCTCCCTTGGGGCCTCCCCGTGAGCTGACCCGTTGGCTGCGGCAGAGCCGGAATCGCGGCCCCCCCTCTGGCATCGCTGCCGGGGCAGGGCCAGCCAGAGATCCAAACCAGGAATGTAGGACTCTACGCTCATAAATACCTCGACCAAAGCTCCAGGGACTGACACCCCCGGGCTGTTCCTCGCTCTGCAGCCGGGCTGGCAGCGGGAGCGCGGCCGCCTGTAGGGAAATAGTCCCGAAATCCGGCACGGGGGCGTCGCTTTGGGTTCCCCCGTTCCTGCCCTGAGCCCGGGTAAGGAAATTGTCTGGTTCATTGTCATCTCTCTGACTGTGCAGTGAGGAATCGGAGTAACCCACCTGCAAAGCAGGGAGATCTGGTCAGTTAATTTACAGTTACTCTGCATGGACTAGAAAGTGTTTCCTGGGTACACCTTGATGGCACAAGTGGAATGAGGTCTCAGTGGACTTTTTCAGAGGAAGAGAGATATATTTTAAACATGTCTGTGCATGTATATATGTTTATAGATGCGTAATGATGCACTTAAATTCTTAATTCCATGCTGACTGACACTAAGCTGTGCTATAGGAGCACTGAGTTTAATGCTTTTTAATTAGAGATTGGCTAAATGAGACTCCTGTACTAATTCCCACTAATACATGGATGGGCAGTGAAGATAAAGGTACGAGAAGACACGGCCATATTCTGGTTTTAAAAAATGGGGTGCTGATAGGTTTTAATTCAGGTCTAAAGACAGAGCAGCAGTTCCTGCAGGACACTAGGAAGCAGGAAGAGTCTCTGCCTGGACCACTGGAGTTTTTCTGTGCACTTCAAATGGAAACCTGGTGACTGATGCACCCCCTCTTTTAATCCCCAAATTTTTGTAGTGTCAGTCAGGATGCTTTCAGGCCACCTTGTGTCAGACTAGACTGCGAGTTTAGAACTCCTCCTGAGCAGAGTTGCTCAGCATCCAGTGTGCTAGGAGAGGAGAAGGAGCTGTGCATCCTGATCCTATGGAGCCGTGGGTAGAAGCTGGATGTTGTGGTCACAAATAGGAATCTATTGCACAACTTGCTAAAAGTGCTGAAGAGAATGCTGGGCTGTCTCACTCTGTGCTCACCACAAGCACAGCTCAATCTGTAAAATCCCCCCAATATTGCCAAAAAAAATCATGTTTTCCTCTGTATATACATATATAAATATATATATATATATAGTGTGTGCAGTAATAAAATACTTGAACTCCTGTGGTTTCCCATAAACTTAGACTAAGATTTATAACACTATTAAAATCTGTAAAATGTCACCTAGAATTTCACCAACTGTGCTGGTGGGGGTCTCCTGTTTGTTCTAAGATAATCAATCTCTTCGTCATGTTGCTGTGTCCTGCTCCCCCTTGGCTGTCTGTCTGTCTGTCTGTCACAACGAGCTCTGCAGCTGGATGTGGCCCATCTCCAGCCCCAGTCGGAGGGTGGGACGGAGGAGGGGACCCAGGGAATGAAGTCATCCAGAGGGATGTACTTCACTGTGTGTGACGCTGTGTGTCTGAACTAAACTATGCTGAAAATGGTGCCTTTACCAGACAAAGGGTTTTTGTACTCCCGGCGTGCACTTGGAACGGCTGCGGTCGGGGAGGGCAGGGATGTGTGGGGTTAGAAGCCATCCCGTGGACAGGAAGTGGCTCCAGTTTTTTGTGTAGAATACTGAAGATGACTACTGACTTTCTTTTGTAAAGGGCACGGACACCTGTCCCCAGGCGGGGCTGGAGCTGGTGGGGCTGTGGTCGACACCCGTGTTCACCTCCACAGCTCCGGCCAAAGGGCTGTTCCCAACCCCTTTGTACGGACCCAACGAGCAATAAAGATGCCAGTTTTGTACAAGGCTCTGCCTCAGCCTCTGCTTTAGGGGAGGGAGGGGCTGTTACCGGTGGGGCCGTTACCTGTGGGCAGTTGCTGTGGGGCTGTTACCAGTGGGGCTGTTACTGGCCCGCAATGGGGCCACTTTGTGCGATGCCACCACTGCTGCTCCTGCTGCTCCTGGAGCTGCTGCATGAGGCTGGGCAGGGCCCCCCTGTGCCCTCCACCCCCCGGCTCTGGGCTCAGCCGTGGGGGTCTCTGTCCCCTCTGGGCTGGCAGGTTCCATCCCAGATCACGATCCCACAGCGGCTGCCGGCAAACGTGACCGGAGTGACGCGGCTGCAGCAGGCACGGTGCTGGGGAGGGAGAGAGGGGGAGATGGGGGGAAGGTGGGGGAGTGAGGTCTTCAGCTGCAGAGGAGAGCCGGGGGGTGCAGATGTGCTGGCAGCTCTAATGGTGTCACCACAACAGAGCTGCCAGCACAGCACCCACTCTGTGCTCATCCCTGGTGTTCGCAGGGGGCCTCGGATGGTGCTGGTCCAACTCCCTGTTCCTAATTCTCCCGTTCTCTACTTTTCTGCATGCACAAGGACACAGTGTCCTACGTCCTGAGGATCGAGGGGAGGCCCTACACCATCCACCTGCAGCAGCAGTGAGTTGGCCCTGATGCTGCCCCTGCTGACAGTCACTGCCCCATTCCCCGGTGGCTGCAGGACCTGCGAGAAGCTCGAGAAGGGTGAGGGATGTTGTTGTAAGTGCTTCACTTTGCACCTTTCTCTTGTAGTGCCTTTTTATCTGATGATTTCCAGATTTATGTGTCGGACGAGGAGGGCTCTTTGCCCCCTGATTCAGCCCAGATGGAGGTAACCTGCCTTGCTTTGGGATGTTTGTACCCTAAGTGTCACAGCACCGATCTCTGCCCAGTGCAGCTGTCTGGGTGAGAATCACCTTCCCAGCCACAGAAGGGACTCCCTGTCCTCTGTCACACTGTAGGGAGGCTGCCACTACTGGGGGTACATCGATGGCTTCCCCAGCTCGGCAGTGACCCTCAGCACCTGCTCGGGGCTCAGGTAATGTTCCACAACGTCCCTGTGCTGCCCTGCCCCTGGGTGCTGCCAGGCCTTTGCTGTGGGGAGCCCAGGGATGGCCTGGAGGCAGTGCCAGGAGTAAATGGCCAGTGCCACTGCCTTGGCAGGGGTTTGCTGCAGTTTGAGAACGTCAGCTACGGGATCGAGCCCCTGGACGATTCCCCCGAGTTTGAGCACCTCGTGTATCGAGTGAGCGAGGAGGACACGGCAGGTTCCTTCCTGGCCCACAGCCCCCCCGGGAGAGGGCTGGGTGGGCTGGTAGCAGAGGAGACCTCGGCCAAGGCCCACGGGGATGATGAGGTGAGCGGTGCCCGCTGTTGTCCTGTCCCTGAGGAGGAGCCTGATCCCACAGGAAGCTTTGGCCGGACACTTGGCCACAAGCTTTGAAGGGAGGCTTGAGCAGCACAGCAAACAGCAGTGGTGAGGGGCCAGAGAACACAGGGATCTGCCCACTGGAGTACATTGGAGCCCATTTTCTCTTCCAGCTCCTCTGGGCCGCAGCACGATCTCCCAAATACCTCACAGTGTACGTGGTTTTGGACAGCGCTTTGGTGAGTCTGTGCCAGACACTCTCCTTGCCTCTGCCTGACTTCTGTGAGCAGGGAAATGGTGCCATCTCCCAGCTTGTACAGGGATTTGTTTTCCCTTTCGAAAAATTACACATCCTGTGGATTTTGAAGGAAAGGAGGAGTGCAAATTTGTAGCTCACATCTCCGTGGCTGGGTGCTGGGAATTATCTCAGTGTTCCGATATTGTTCTGTACTTACATCCTCTTGGGTTGTTTTTCAGTACAACTACATGGGGTCAGACCCAAATGCTGTCACACAGAAGATAATCCAGGCTTTCAATTTAGTCAACAATGTGAGTTTTAAAGTCTGATTTGTACTGCAGGGGTGATGTTGGTAGTGGTCACCTCTCTCCTAGCTGCTTTTGGGTTTGGGAGGAGGTTATGTAAAATATTCCAGCTTTCCCAAGAAGGTTTTTCCTCTGGGTGTCAGTCTGCTGCAAAAGAACATCCTTCCCCATGCAGTGGCCATGTCTCATGCAGCTAGCTGGACAGAACACAGGCAGTTTGCCAAAACCCAGCATTGCTCCCCTCTCCGTGCAGCAGATCCCTGTTCTCACTGATCCAATTAACCTGCTTCCTCTCAGGTGCTTATAAGCAACTTCCAGTCCTTTTCTTCACTCCACTGGTGCCGTTATGGTTCATGTGTGCAATGAGAAATTAGTCCCAAAATCCCTAAGGCCCTCCTGTGAAGTTATTGGGCTTTGGCTCAGACCTCTTGCTACATCTCTCTATTTTTTAGGTGGGTTCATTCTTTTTGGCTACAGATGTCATTGAGGGGCTGACAGCAGCAGTTGGGTATTCCCATGTGTTTGTGTGCAGAGCTCAAAAGGGAGGGTGTGTGAGAAGGTGTTTCCTTTCTGCTTTCAGATGTTTAGTCCCCTTAACGTCACCATTGTGCTGTCCTCCCTGGAGCTGTGGGCAGAGGGAGATAAAATACCGACAGCGGGGGACACAGATGACCTTCTGCAGCGATTTTTACAGTGGAAACAGTTGACCCTGGCATTGCAGGCACATGATATCGCTTTTCTCTTAGGGTAAGATAAGGGTTCCTTAGCACTAAAGCTTACATAGTAGAGATCACTCAGTGCAGGTTGAACTATGAAGAGTCCCATGACAAATGCTTTTTAAAAAAGCCGTATTTCTTACACAATTCCTGATTTCATAATATTCTGGAAGCGTTTCTTCCAAGGCATTCCTTCTAACCAGCCCTTCTGTGGCAGTGCAGCAGCCACAGTGGTGCCATCCCATCCCATCCCACCCCATCCCACCTGCCCTGGCTGAGGAGAGGCTCCACAGGCTCTGGCACTGAACACACTGGCACACAGAGCCCATCCCAGCTCCCCTGGGGACAGCAGAGCCATCGGGGCCACTGGAGGGGACTGTGGCTGTACAGACCCACTGACCCATGGCCATGAGGTGTCCTGGGCTGGGTGACCAGTGCACTCCCCTCTGTTCCAGGTACAGGGACCAAGGAGCGCCCGTGGGCACAGCGGCTCTGGGAAAGGCCTGTCAGAGAGATGCTGCTGCTGCAGTGGCCCTGGTACAGTCCCACCTGCCCCCTGCCCGTCCCCAGCCAGCCCACGTGGCCGAGAACCCAGAGCTGGCCCACGGGCAGCAGGGACGGGGCTGGGTGGGAGCGGGTGGGAGCATCCACGGCCAGGGCAGGGGGCTGGCATCAGCCGTGGCATCCTGGCTCTCTCCTCCCTCCAGTACCACGGGAAGGCGACGCTGGAGTCCTTCTCCGTCCTGCTGGCACAGGTGCTGGGCCGCAGCCTGGGCGTGAGCTCCGACAGCCCCCGAGCCTGCGGCTGCGCCGGGCGCGGCTGCATCATGAGCCCCGCGGCGCTGTGAGTGGGCCGGGGGTGGTACGGGGTGCCCCCTCCTCAGGGGTGTCCCCAGCAAATGTCATTCCATGGCAAAAATTACAACCAAGTAGAATCATGGAATTGTGGAATCGTGTCGAGTCTGACCTGTGACCGATCACCACCTTTTAACTAGACCAGAGCACTTTGTGCCACATCCAGTCATTCCTTTGGCACCTCCAGGAGTGGTGGCTCCACTGCCTCCCTGGGCAGCCCCTTCCAATGCCTGAATACCCTTTCAGTGAACAAATACCTGCTTTTATTCCTTTGAGAAGGAAAAAAAGGAATAATTAAATAGCAATTCAGTGCTTAATTTGACAAAAGAGACCTTTGCTCTCCAAAACGAGGGTACTTATGGTTCTCAGTCTCCGTTAATGAGCTTTAGACCAGGTGAACTGACAGACCCCCAGGGCCATCGTGCCCTGTGCCGGTGTCTGGGTGAGCCCTTGACTTGCACAGAGGTTTGGAGAGGGCGGGTGGTGAATGCATAACACATAAACTGAAAATTGCTTTATTTCAGCCATTTCAGTGGGGCAAAAGCCTTTAGCAACTGCAGCGTCAGGGACTTTGAGACCTTCCTGAAGCAGGGCAGAGGCGTGTGCCTCTTCAACAGACCCCGCCTGAGGCCCCTGTCCCCCCGGAGCGGGGCCTTCTGTGGCAATGGTGTGGTGGAGCCGGGCGAGCAGTGCGACTGCGGGGCACCCCAGGTGGGTGCCAAGGAACCGCGGCTAAATCCCTGCATTTGGGATGTGGGAATAACGAACCCTTGAGACTGAGGGCCCCACTGCAGCAGGGGGCAGCCCAGAAGGGTTGTGTTGGGTTTGAGATGGCACCAGTCTGGTGGCAGCTTCGCCCGTTTGTTCTGCTTGATGTTGCCCAAGTGTAGCCTTTTGGGGAGAAGGAGGAAGAGTGGGACTCGGGTACAGAAAAGTGGAATAACGTGGGTTTGCCATGTTTCCCCAGCAATGCCTGCATGACAAGTGCTGCACTTGGAGATGTCAGCTTATGCCGAAAGCGAGATGTGCCTCTGGATCATGTTGTAAAAATTGTCAGGTGAGGCACACTTTTATAATTATCACAAAATCATTATTTATCTTTGGAGAAATAGTATGTCCCCATGCTGAGGGATGGAGCCAAACTTCCTGCTGTGCAATGGGAGACTCTCCCGGGGTCGGGCTTCCTGGGAACCCTTGTGGGGATCGTCCTGGGCAGTGTCACACACGTGTGGTGACCCGAGTGCCCGGCGGGGATCCCGGCCCGGCAGCAGGAGGGGCTGTGTGGGCTCAGCCTGGCAGGTGAGGGTGGAGAGCTCTTCCTGCTCTCCAGTTCAGGAAGAAGAACTCGCTGTGCCGCCCCACCTCGGACTCCCAGTGTGACCTGCCCGAGTTCTGCAGCGGCTCCTCGGGGTCCTGCCCGCCCGACGTGTACGTGCAGGACGGGCACAGCTGCGAGCGCGGCACCGGCTACTGCTACCAGGGACGCTGCCAGTCCTTGGACCTGCAGTGCCAGCGGCTCTATGGGAAAGGTAACGGGCTCTTCTGGTGGCACTGGCACTGCCTGGGGGCGGGATGATGATGTTCAGTGCTCTCCAGTGCACCGGTCTTGGGTAAGAGTGGGGCACCAGGAGGGAAGTGCACAGCCTTAGGAAGGCGTTTCAAGCTTGGGTTTGGCTCTGGTTAATGAAGTCCCCCAGTGCTTCAGAGATAACAAAGGAAATGACAAAAAGCAAATTGTTATCTGTGGGTGAACTCTATCAGAGGACTGCCCCATTTGCTACTCCCTTGCTGATTTCTGGGGTTCAGGGGGTTTGCCAGGGCAGGGACAGGAGTGTTTTCTCTAATTAAAGGAGGAAAAATGAAGTTATTATAGTATGTCCCTTTGTGTTCCTTTGAACTATAACAAATATTACTGCTAAACTTGCAGATTCAAAGAGTGCTCCTGTGGCCTGTTATGAGGAGATCAACAGCCAGCGGGACAGGTTTGGGCACTGCGGGTTCAAGAGAGGACGTGGGTACCAAGGCTGTTCTTGGAGGTATGCTGAGGAGGGGGCACTGGCACTGGCTCTGTCAAAATGCATATTTAATTGGGACTGGGCAGTCAAGGGGAGTGTCAAAACTCCAGTTCATAATGAGATTTGTGAAGCAATAAATAGTTCTCTGTGTGTTCTCCTTGTTTTGGCGTCTCTCCTTATGTCACAGATCCTCTCTCGGACTTCCCAGTCCTGCTGATGTTTTCCCACCTTGCTCCAGACTGCGCTGTTTAATGTTCCCATGTTCATCAGGCAGTGTGTGTGTGTGTGTGTGTGTCACACACATCCTGTGCAAATTGGCTTCCCAGGAATCTCAGGTGTGGGAAGTTGGTCTGCACGTACCCGTCCAGCAACCCCTTCCGATCAACTGCTGCCGCCGTGATTTACGCCCGAGTGAGGAAGCATTTGTGTGTCTCTATGAATTATCTGAATGCATCAGCATTGCTGGATCCACTTCTGGTCCCACCAGGGACAAAATGTGGCTCTGAAAGGGTGAGGAAGCGCTATGTAATCATCTGAAATGACAGATGTAAACTGTAAATATTAAGGTTTTAGAAACGCTTGCTCCTTGCAGCAGTGTGCTAGATATTTAAAAACACTATAAACCCCTGCAAACGCTGCATAAAGGTTTGGTGGTGTGTGAGCACAAGGCATGACCCAGCCCCAGGGCAGAACTGTAGCTTTTTTTGTTGGGTTTTTTTTTAGAAATAGTGTGTTTTCCTTCCCCTTTGGGCCAAAGCCTGGCATGCTGAGCACTGTGTGGGTGAGGCAGTGCTGGGCTGGAGCTGCTGTAGTTTTTTCCCAGGTGTGTATAAACACGTGTCACCCACGCTCGGTGCTGGGGTTCAGGTGTGACAGCCAGGTGATGTGCCACGGCCACGGCGTGAGTCCCCTGGGGCTGGGGGGGCTGCAGGGGGGCAGGTTCTGTGAGCTCATTGCAAACCTCTACCCCCACCCCTGGCTGTTCCAGGTGTGCAATAACAAGGGCAATTGTCACTGCTACCCGGGCTGGAGACCCCCCAGCTGCCAGAGGAGGGGCTCTGGGGGGAGCGTGGACAGTGGCTTCCAGCTGATGGAGGGAGGTGGGTACAGGCAGCTGAGGGGGGATGGCACGGGCAGGGGTGGCAGTGCCCTGTGCCAGCTGGGCTGTCTCCTGCCAGGCCTGCCCCTGCAGAGAGCACTGGAGCATGGGCAGCTGGCCTGGCTGGTGCTGGGCTCCAGCCTTGTCCTGCTCATCCTTGCCTTGGCCATCGTCCTCGTCCTCATCCTGTGGCAGCAGGAGGTGCTGGGCTGGTGCCATGGGCAGCAACCGCAGGGCACAGAGGGGTGAGTGGGGCCCTGCCTGGGGCTGGATCCTCAGGGAGGACAGGGGAGAAGATGAGGTGATTCCCCAGGGATGTATGGGGTGATTCTCAGGTGAGGCACGAGCATATTCCCCAGGGCTGAGGTCACCTCTGGACTGAGATGGCCCTGGGAGACTGAGGCCACCCTGAGTCAAGTCAGGGCTGAGGCACCGCTCCAGGTCTCCCCACAGCACCAACCAGGACATGGACAGGGAGCTGGAGCCAGACCCGGAGCTGAACCTGGAGCCAGATGCAGAGCTGGACCCAGAGCTGCAGACAGACCTGGAGCTGGACCCAGAGCTGCAGACAGACCTGGAGCTGGACCCAGAGCTGCAGAGAGACCTGGAGCTGGACCCAGAGCTGAAGGCAGACCTGGAGCTGGACCCGGAGCTGAAGGCAGACCTGGAGCTGGACCCGGAGCTGAAGGCAGACCTGGAGCTGGACCCGGAGCTGAAGGCAGACGTGGGCCCAGCACTGGAGCTGGAGCAGCACCACGGGCACTGATTAAAGGCATTGGGCAGAGCCAGTGCTGTGGCTGGTGCCCCATGGTTTTATGCTTACACAGTTTGTGCCTTTTGTCAGAGGAACAGGAAGAGTGCAGGGTGGATGTGGGGTCTCAGCCTCGTTAGGTCCCTTTCAGCCCCATTTCATCCATCTCCAGCCAGAGGGCAGCAGGAGCCTCTCGGCACGGATCAGCCCCGGGCAAGGAGGTTGGCTCCTGCATGTCACCATTAGACCAGCAGCCCATGGCACACTAGTTTGGCATTGCCAGGATCCTGGAGAACCCCACCCGCAGGGACAGTGTCCCTGAGCTGCCACCCCAGGCCCCCTCGATGCAGCATCCCATGGGAGCCTGACAGCCCCTGGGGTGGTCCAGGGGGGAAGCTGATGACAGCCCTTACCGAGGGCAAGGGAGGTCCCCCAAGCCTTCTCCATGGGAACAGAGATCAGTGTTTGCTCCATGACAAAGCCTTATCTGCAACCTTTACCCGTGTTTGCTCAGACCCTCCGGCCATTGGGTGGCCGGGCCTGGCTCCCCCCAAGACAAGGTACATTCCTGCTGCAGGACAGGCGGCGCTGGCTCAGCACATCCTGCCAGGGCAGCCAGGCCACAGCACACCCCGAGCCCACGGCCAGCGCCCGGCGATGGAGGCTGATGATGGCACCGAGGAGCCCCCGCTGCCCCTGGCACTGAGCAGGTTCCAGGTCTCCGAGGAGTTCGGCTTCCTGCTTCCCGATCCGCTGGTAGGAGCTGGCTGTGCCCCCCATCTGCATGCTACAGAGAGGAAAAGAGAGGGGTTGTGAGCAGCTTTCTGGAGGGGGGGTTGATTCGGCTTACAAAGAGCAGTGAGGAAGGCAGGGGCTGTTTTGGCACAGGCAGTTTCATAGGACAAACCCCTCACTTTGAAATGACAGAAGTGGCTGCAGCAAGTGGCAGGGGGGAGAGGAGAATGAGCTTTGCCATTTACACGCTGCCTTGGCTCTGCGGGATTTTGGGGAGCATGAGAAGAGCAGTCACTCTGCAGGAGACTGGGTGGGTGCTGGGAGCCTGGGCACATTCACAGCCCCCCCTCTGCCTCTCTCCACCAAGACAGAACTGCCAGAGCCCTACAGCCCCTGGATGGAGGTTGCCCATGAGCTGCCCCAGCTGATCGCCAGCCACCGGCTCCGCTCCCGCGTTCACCAGGTACCGTGTTCTCCTCCCTGCCTCTGGAGCTCTCTCAAACCTCGGTCTGACACAGCAGCATCTGCAAAACGTGGGGGAAAGCAACTCAGCAGCACGGCCGTGTCCTGAGCCAGGGCTGACACCAGGCGACAGCAAAGCCTTCACATCGACACAGAAACAGAGCCAGGAGGCAGCAGCCAGTGAGGGCTGGAGCAGGGCGAGCAGGGGCCCTCTAGATGTCACAAGAGCTGTGTCTCATCCCAGCCATGCTCCCTGCCAAGGACCCCTCTGGCACACAGGGATCAGCTGCTCCCACAGGCATCCCAGCACCAAGGAAGAGGGGTGCCTTTTTGAGGAAAATCCTACGGATTACTGCCCATGTTTACAAACCAGCAGAAGTGGAACAGGAGCAAATCCTGCAGGGTGGGTGGGAAGGGAGGTTTGAAGGCAGAGAGAGGCACTTAGGAGGGTTCACCCTGGCTGGCAGGACAGACCCCACCGCGGGGGCCCTTGGCACTGCTGGCTTTGCCCCTTGCTCCCAAGGATTTCCCTGGCAGATGCCGCAGCTGAGCGCCCTGCACCTCCGAGGACGTGAGGAGCTGCACTTGGCACACCTGGTGCTCAGCTTCATCACCATGGGCTACGTCTGGCAGGAGGGCGAGGAGGGCACCGTGCAGGTAACGGCAACGCAGAGCAGGTTCACCTGCTCCGTGGGATCCGGGGGCTGTTGCTGCTCCCACGGAACTCATCCCACGGGAGCAAAGCCCCTTTCCTGCAGCTGCAGCAGGAGCGTGACCCCTCCTGCCCGGCTGGTGCCCACACACGGGCACTGTTCAGCAGCCTGGCAGTGTCCCCACCTTCCCCCGTGCTTTGTGCCGTCCAGGTCCTGCCCCGAAACCTCGCCGTCCCCTACTGGGAGGTCTCCGAGGCCCTGGGCCTCCCGCCCATCCTCAGCCACGCAGACTTTGTGTTGGCCAACTGGAGGAGGAAGGACCCCAACGGGTAAACGGGCAAACGCCGGCGGACGAAGCGCGGCTCCTCCCGCGCTCGGGCAGCAGCCACGAGCAGGTGCTGGGGACAGACGGTTCCCAAACTGCTCCTGTTCTGCCAAACCCCCTTGGACCCCCCACCATCGCTGGGGTGGCTCCTCACGGGCGGACACAGGAACCCTGTGGGGACGTGGGTGCCTGTGGAAGTAGCCCCTGGGGACAACTCCTCCATTCCCTGCAGAGCACAACCCGTCACCAGAACAATTTATAACGCTCCTCTCTCTCTCTCTCTCTCTCCCGCATTTTCTCGTGCATTTGTTGGCCATAACTGAAACGCCTTCAGGCCTCTGGAAATCGAGTAAGTAGTTAAGATGCTCATTTATTTTCTAACGGTGTTGGTTTTGTTTGGATGGGCTCAGCTCTCCAGCACTGCGGGGTTCTGCTTAGGCTGAGCCTCTCTCGATGTGCACATGCAGCAACACCAGCGTTTGTCTCACAAATGCCACTGAGATGACAGTGAAGTGACTGCAGTGGAGCATGGGCTGCTCTGTCTGTGCAGGTCCAGCACCCATGGGCCATGGGAAGGGCATGGGGAGGGTGGTGGGTGCCTCTAAACCAGACCAGGCCAGCTCCCCCTTTGCTCTGTGCCAGCTCCTCTCTGCCTGGGGTGCAGATAAGAGGCTCTGCAGCCTGGGAGCATTTTGTTCCAAGAGCTCAGCAGATCCCGTGGTGTGCAGGGAAATCCTGAGCCACAACCCCACTAATCCCTCTCCTTGGCTGCTCCGTGCAGGAACCTGGACCCCATCATCACCCTGCCCGGGGGAGAGAGCCTGCGGGGCTTCGTCCTCGTCACCCTCCTGGTTGAGAAGGCGGCTGTGCCTGGCATCAAGGTGGGTACCGCCCTGGTCCGGAGCTTTTTGCTCACCTGGAAAGTGCCCACAGGTGCACCCACGAGGTGACCCTGTCCCCTGCATGTGGACTGGGAAGGAGCAGAGCTGGCATGGGTGGCAGCGAGTGTCCAGAGCCGCTGTACACAGGCATCCCACCCCCTGTCACTTGGTGTTCTTTCACAGGCAATCGTCAGGGCCCTTCATGCCATCCTGCAGCACGATGAGGAGACCCTGCAGGGAGCCCTGGAGGAGCTGGCAGGGGCCATCGAGGCCATGAGGGAGGCACTGAGGCGGATGCACAGTGAGAGCAGCCCCAGCCAGGCTGTGTCTGCACAGCCCTGCACACGCCACAGCTCATCACACGTGTTGGTGTGACTGCCAGCCAGCTCTGACCTCCCTGATTTCCTCCTAGACCACGTGGATCCCGCAGTGTTCTACGCTGTGATCCGCATCTTTCTCTCTGGGTAAGTGCAGCGGGTTCCCCTTCAGACCCACCATGCTGGCAGCTCCCAGGGCCGGGGGGAACTGGGAATGTGCCAGGAAGGGGCAGCCCAGGTGGGACAGGGGGTCCCCCAGGGCGAGGTGGGGACCAGCCCTGTGTCTGGCAGTGATGCTCCTCAGGGTGTCATGGTCCTGTCCCTCGGGAGTTCCCAGGCACTGGATCTGCTGGGCATGGACCAGGGCTGAGGGCTGGGGTCTGCCCCCCTCCACCCACTCTCCATCCCACACTTCAGCTCAGCCCTGAGAAGGTCCCTGTGCCCTAAAAGCCAGAATTGTGCACAAATGAATCATTCCTGCTCTTGGCCGAACAGTTTCGACAGCAGAAGAGGAATTTCTCTTCACTTCCACGCTGTGCACACAAGGCTGCGAAGCCGAGCGGAGGCTCTTCCCACTGCACGTTAAGGAAACATCCCTAACAAGCCTCTTGCTGCTGCTCTGTTACAATTCTGTCAATTGGAAAAAAGAAAATCTCCCCCAGATACTGAAAAAGCCGTTTGGGCAAGGCAGAATCACATCCCTGAGAGCCCAGCGTGGCGTGTTCACCATCCCTCAGCATCCCTGCGGGGCTGCAGCTTCCACAGCCACTCACTCCCAGGCTGCTCAGGGGGGTTCTATTTTTATTTCTCTCCAGCATGTCTCAGCATTCCCAAGTCAAAAGGCTCCGTGCATCCTGATTAGGTTTCTCTTATTTTTTTTTATCCAAGCTGACCTTGTCTTGATGGTCATCAGCCTGGAAAAACATGCCTTTAAAATTCCCTTCTGCTTATAAGAACTTCCCACTAGTTGAAGTTACTATAAATACAACCCTGGGAGAACTAAAAATATTCTGGTATTTGATAATGAATCTATTTTCTGTGCAGTTTGTGCAAATTTTGTCCCCACAGCCCAACAGCCCGAGCAGCCTCCCAGGACGGTGCATTCTGCAGGAGGTCAACAGATATTTTTGCGCCAGGCACTTTGTTTCCCTGAAATCGTAACTCTTCTCTTTGTTTGGGAGCGAGCACTTCTCCATTTCTGCACAGTGGGGGCTGACAGGCTCTGAGTTCAGGGTGTGTGGGGGGAGCTCCTGGCTCCCAGCCCGCCCAGGACCAGCAGCTTCAGAGGGAGGAAATCCCATCCCGGCCTTGTTATCTGTGGAGATAAATAGAGGCAGCCTGACCCAGCCTCTACTTATCCTTTAAATGCTTTTAGAGACGTAACCCTGAGTAACAGGAACAAAGGAAAATCCAAAGTACAAACTTCAGGGACTCAGAGTAGCATTTGGGTGACTCTACCTGCTGCTTATCCGAATGGCCACTGGCATTCAAGGAATTGTTGTTGTACCACTGCTGCCCAGACAAGTGCCCCCTCCCTCCCCAAGGCAGCTCTGCTCACACAAACCTTCCCGAGCTGGAGCAGAAGGTGCAGCCAGGCAGGGCAGGGTGTCCCAGCACCACACCACAGGGTGCTTACCAGGGCATGGTGACCCCAGAGAATGATCCCTAGCTCCTGGCAAAGGAAAATTAAGGATTCCTCCCTATGCCCACGGCCTCGTGGTGCACCTTGTCACAACATTTGATTTCTGAGTTTATGTTCCATGTGAGGAGGGCTGGCACCGCTGAGTGAGGAGGGGCCGGGCCAGGAAGGTTTTGTTCCATCTTGCCAGCCCAGAGTCCCCTCCCACAGTCCCTGTCCCCAGCTGCCCCACGGGCACTGCCTGACCGCCGTGTCTCCCGCCCAGCTGGAAGGACAATCCCGCCATGCCGGCCGGGCTGGTCTATGAGGGGGTGTCCGAGGAGCCCCTGGCGTTCTCGGGGGGCAGCGCGGCTCAGAGCACGGTCCTGCACGCCTTCGACGAGCTGCTGGGGATCCGCCACAGCCAGGACACCGGTGAGCCACACACCTTTCCTTTTCCCAGGCAAATAAGGGCAGGGGAAGAGACGAGCCAGAGCGATTCCCACGGCTGTGCCAGCTCTGCCAGCCAGCAGCACACGTGCCCATCTCTGGGCTCTGCCCAGTTCCTTAGGTTATAAACGGGGCTCTGGTGGGTGCTTCCTCACTGTGATAAATTCCCATAGGGCCACACTTTGTTTTTTGCCTGTCAGCTTTTTACTGAGTTTCTCTATGGGCCCAGAGATGAGGGAGCAGAGCGTGCCTGCATCCTGCCAGTGATTTACCCCATCCATTCAGAGAGTTCCGTGTTGGTCCAGCCCACAACAGAAATATTTACCAGAAATTGGCAAAACCACTCTACTAGCAAAAAAACCCCAAAATAAACCAAACCAAAAGGCTGAGAGCAGGACTAAAACCTGTCTTTTAGAGTTAAGACCAACCCTAATGGAGCACTGACCTAATATGGGTTTTCTTTCTTACTGAATTGGAGGCAGAGCAGAGGAAGCTGTTCAGGCTTTGAGCACCACCAGCACCATGGTCCCTGCAAACCGTGCCAGCAGCAGAGCTCCGCTCTGGGGCCTTTAATCCACATACCCACAACTTATTCCACCCTTTGCTGGTGTCTTGCAGCCGCCTTCCTGCACAGGATGAGGAACTACATGCCCCCGCCCCACAGAGCCTTCGTGGAGGAGATCCAGCGTGGCCCGTCCCTGAAGCAGCACGTGCTCTCCTGCAGGGACAGGCGGCTCCGCGGGGCCTTCAACCGCTGCGTGTCAGCGCTGGCAGAGTTCAGGTCCTACCACATCACCGTGGTCACCAAGTACGTGGCCGTGGCGGCGGCCAAAGCCAGGGCCGGGCGGGCAGAGCCGGGCGCCAGGGCTGGCCCTGCCCTGGGGAAGGCCCCGTCTGCGCTGGAGGCCAAAGGTACCGGCGGGTCCCACATCTTCAGCTTCCTCAAGAGCATCAGGGACACCACCAGGGAGGGGATGATAAGTGCCTGATGTGCCCCGAGGCCGGCAGGGCACTGCCCATGGTGGGTGCAGGAGGCCGGGCGGCTCCGCTGTCCCGTCTGCAGCACAGGAGCCAAGGTCCAAAACCTCCCCTCGGCAGCATCACTCCCACCTGTGCGTGTCTGGGACACGAGGAACGTGCTCGGGGCTGCCGAGGGAGGACAGTGCTGCTGCTTCCCCCCCCCCAGAAGGCACACAGTGAGCTCAGCATCCCCCCACGGCCTGGAGACGGGCACAGTGTCCTCCCGTGGCACTGGCATCAGCACATCATCCCAAGGCACCAGGGCGGCTGCAGCGTCCTCCCACGGCACCGGGAAGAGCTCTGTCCCTGCCAGCCCCGCCTGCCGCCCGCAGCACCCCGGGGGTCGGGGCTGCTGGACACGGGGGGGTTACACGGACGAATAAAGCAGCGAATCCCGATCCAGCCGTGTTGCCGAGCCCTGTGTCCGTCGCGACATCCCAGCGCTGCTGCTCCATCGCGAGGTGGCGGCAGAAACCCGCGTTTGGCTGCGGCGCGGACGATCCCGCAGCAGAGGAACGGGCGGGCAGCAGGAGAAGCAAAACACTGGGGGGCACTGGGGGGACTGCGGGGGGAGCCTCTGGTCGTTAAGGGCTCGGGATGTCACAGGGGGCAAAGCTGCAACGCTGGGGCTCACACGGGCTTTGCCTTCCTGAGCCTCAGTAACACCGCGCTGTAGCGGGGGACACGAGGGGACGCGGCTTCCTCGAGGGGACAGCGAGGGAAAAACAGATGGACAAACCCACTGCCCTGAGCAGGGACCTGCAGCAGAACAACACCCAGCCCGGTGCCAGGGTCAGCCCACGTGGAGGCTCCCACGACCCAGACCCGGCGGGTGAAGTGAGAGCCGGGGACAGCCCCGTGCTGGGCCCCGACGGCTCCGGGTGCCGCTCCCCGGCCCGGGGCTGCAGGAACCGGCTCACCCCGCCGGGCTGGGCTGGGTGGGCAGAGCCTGGCGCCAAGAGCAGGGCTAAACCTTTCTTTTATAGAGCCAGGTGCCAAGTTGCCCTTTTATAGCAAGAGAGCACGCCCAAATTCCTTGGAATCCGCATCTTTAGGGAAATCAGGCCATATGGCTCCGTTTTGCCTGCCCAGGTTTTGCTGGCACGGCCACCAGAGACAGGTTTCACACCCAATCAGTGTCTTGGTGCAAAAATAGCCCTGGCAGTGCCCCTTCTGCACTACCAGCAGAGAGTCAAGGTCCTTTGAAATGAGGCATCGTTCCCATAAGGGCAACAAGAAGCTCAGCACGCCGCAGCTTGAATTATTAAAGGTCTTGCTAAATTGTATTTTGTGCCCTTTTTTGAAATGCAGCCCTAAAACTGGGGCTTCAGAGATGATTTCAGTAAACAACCCACGGGAACATGTCAGCACCTTTAAATCTTTGCCTGGCAGCCCTCCTTCCACTTGATCTTCATTTCTGAATAGCTGCTGCATATTTCATGTAGGAAATATTTCATCCTGATGATTGTCTTGGTCTGTTACATTTCAGACCATTTCAGGAAAACAGCAAACTTGGAGCGGGGGAAAAATCACTCCAGCTGAGAAATGCAGCCAGGACTGGAGGGAGCTGGGGCAGGCTGGCGCTGCAGGGGGGCAGGGGCTCCACTCGTGCTGCGAATGCACAAATCCTGCTGGGCAGCAGTGATGCTGACGCCAGGAAAGGCCACAGGACCCACCACAGGTGGATTTTCTTCCTGCTGCAAACTCCCTTCCCTGCACAGGCTGCCCCTGCCCTGTGCCAGGGGGATCCAGGAGCGGATCCTCAGGAGCAAGGAGGGTGGACTTGTGTCACCCCAGAAGAGAGAATGGGAACTGAGAAATCAGAGAGGTGTCGGAGGGCTCTGGAGAGCCAAAGGGGTTCCCTGCACTGAAGGGCTCGCTCATGTACAACACTTTTGGGGGACAAAGAAGGTGCCTAAGAAACTGCAGAGAGAGTCAGCCCACTGCATCCCCAGGTCAGCAAACTACACTGCAAGGGCTCCCCACCTCTGAGTTCGTGTTGCCAAATGCTCACTTGGAGCCAGCTCACGATTAATCAGCTGCAGCTCCTCTAGAATCAGACGCAGGGAGGATCCTGCCACTCTGGCAGTACCCAAACATTGCTGCACAGTGAGGCCCAGCCCTTTCCCATGTGCTCTCCTGGCAGGCTGGGACAGCTGCTCCATGAGAGCTTTGATTTCCCTCTGTTTTCAAACCACTGCTGTCTAACACTGATGACAATAGGCAGACGCCTGAGGTCTCAGGTGCGTTCTGACTGGAAGCACGTGGCATTTAAATAATTTATGCCTGTGCCTAAAAATGGCACGATGTGTTTGAGGAGAAGCACGTGCTTGGCATCAGCGCCACATCCCACCAGTGGGAGCTGCACTGCCATGGGCTGCTGAGTCCCTGCTCTGCCTGGAGGGGTTTGTTTGGGCACTGGGAGAGCCTGGGATGTGTGGGACGAGCCCAGCCACAGCTGCCCATCACCTTTACTGAGCAGCGACATTCAGGCTTGGCTGATCTCTCAGCCAGACCCCGGGTGGGACAACCTGAGCCCGGGGGACACCTGAGACCCCACACACTGGGACAGGCAGAGTTAAGCCCATTTCTGCAGCTCTGTAATAAAATTAATGTTACCTCAGCAAGGGAAAAGCAGCAAAAGAGCAGAGCCCTCTCCCTCTTTCAGAGGTGCTGAGCTCCCAGAGGCACATCTCTGCAGTGAGGTTGGGATGCTCAGACTGCCCAGGCTCTGTGCACAAGTGAGAACAAGATTTTGAACCATCTCACCAAGCCCAGCAGCATCCGCTGGGTCAGCTGGGACTGACCCGTGCCAGGGAGGGGATGGAAAACCAGGAGGGATGTCACAGCTCCCAGCCACACCCCAAGCAGCAGTTCCAGCCCCAAACTGGTGCCACCCACACAGAAACCTCCCTCCTTATCGCTGGAGCCACGGCCCTGCCCCTGCAGTGCTGCCAGACACGTTTCCATTGTGGAGCTGCAGCTGCAGGCCCAGCACAGCCCTCCCAGCCATGTGTTGGGGTGTCCATCTGTCTCCTGACTCCTTGTTATCCCATTGCCTTAAGCAGAGATTTCCCCCATGGTATCTGATGGTTGGACCCGTGTGATGGAGAAGGAAGCCTGGTGCCTGGCCAAGGTGGCAGGAGAAGACCTCACCTGGGCACACCTTCGGTGTCACCAAACCTCACCGAGCCCCATCAGCCCTGGGAGCTGCCCACAGGAGGTGGCCAGCCCTGCCCCAGAGGCTGTGCTCAGACTGCAGCCGTCATCCCACCCACACTGTTTGCTCAGACTTTCCGTCCTTCTCCCTCGCTTTGGCCTCTGGTTCCCTCCTCGCCTTACCCGGGTCTCACCCAGGTCACCTTCCCCTTTCACCTTCCCCTTTCCCCAGGTCACCTTTCACTGTGTGAAAGTTCCCGAGCTGCCCCCAGCGGTGGAAGCCCTTTCCTGCTGCCAGCCCCCTCTGCAGGGATTCCCACAGCCCCCGGGCAGACTCTGCTCTGCTGCTTTTGTCCCCGAGAATATTGGAAATTGAACAGGAATACAAACATTTGGATTCTAGACACTTCTCAACCCCGACCTTATTTATCATACTTGGCTCTGCTCCTGGAGCTGGGGCCAGAAGAGGCTTTGAATGATTTAAGTGATTTAACATGCTGTGCATAGATCAATCTCGCTCTCCCCTCCAGCCACAGGTTTCCCTTAGTGGTTTGCTGCACACTTATTATGTCCATCAATATCAAGTAATTAAAATCCCCCATTATCCAGGCCCTGGCTGCCTTACAACCTCCTCATAAGCTATAAACTATTTCATGATCAACCTCCTTTAAGTGTTCAGGAGTTTGCAGCCCCATCTCAGGGTCCCCGGGCTGTCATTACATCGTGAAGGTCCCATTGGAGCCACGGCCAGATCCAGACCAAGCCATGACTGCCATTCCTCTCCTGTGTTCCTGATCCGTGCCAGGATTGCTCATTTCTATCCCGGTCTTTCTCCATCCGCTGGTGATTTTATCTCAGAGCAATTTCCCCTCCTCAGCTCCTGCTTCACTCACGCTGCTGGAGGGGAGCCCCAGACCTGCTGCATTCCTGGGATCACCCACGGGCTGCCGGATGTCACATCCCAAATTCTGCCCTGCTGCAGAACCATTTGCTGTGCCCAGCGAGTCCCCAGTGCTGTCACATCTGCGGCCCAGATGTCCCCACACCACAATCCCAGGGCTCTTCTGGAAGGACACGGGCCCGGAGCCGGGACAGCCGTCCCTGCAGACGAGTCCCTGTCGCCTGGTCAGTGACAGGGTCCTGCCTGGCCCACGGGTCTCAAAGCAATTTATTAATAACAACCAGGTTTGCTTTGCAATTCCCCTTTGGGAGGGACATGAGGGCACAGAAAATATTTGCCTTTCCCATCCTTCTGGGTACTGCCACTCGCCCAGAGCTGTGGTGTGTCGGTGTGTGTCCGTGTCCCTCGGAACACCCAGCCTGGCACAAGCAGAGCCTTATCTGTGCCCAGGGAAGGGCTCACCTTGGCTGAGTGACTGCAGGCCAGATATGATTACAGGCCATGAGTCAAGCAGAAAAGTGCTAATTACAGCACAGAAGGAAGAGGAGAGAGGAGTTGCTAAATTGCACCTAACATGGAGGGGGAGTGGGGAACAGATTGAGAAGCCATCATTGAAAAAGGATGGCACAGAAAGGATGACACATGGCTGTCCCAGCCCAGGGCCACCAACACAGACACAGCACCCTGAGGCAGCAGGGACCTCTTGGCAACACTATTTTCTTTCTGTTATTTGTATCATCCTGTTCTCCTTGCTCTGTCATTCAGCCCTGAACCCTCTTTGCTCGTGCATCCCTTGCCTGGCCAGCGTTTGTATTCCATTGCACTCTTAGGGCTGTTTGGAAACAAAGGAACCAGAGACCCAAACATTGGCATTAGAATAAAAACAGCTTTGCGTGGGGCAGAAGCAGAGTGGAAACAAGCCACAGGCAGGCCCTGAGGAAGGTCTCTGACCTCGCTGGGGGATGACGACCATGGCAGTGACTGCCATGACAGCCTCCCTGCCCACAGCCCTGCCCTGAGCTCCCCACCAGTGGCACGAGTGGCAAACAGGGCTTTGTGGGATTCTGGGGCACAACAAAAGTCACTTCTGCGTTTCAGGATTCAGGAGGATCCCACTGCCAGGGCGGACCCAGTTCCTGCCAGCCTTTCCTGGCTTGCCAAAGCGTACCAGGCTGCCTGAGCATTCCTGTTGGGCCCTGGCACGGAGGTGCCATCCCCAGGGCTGGACCTGAGCCCTGGCACGTGGTCAGTCCAGGGGGAAAGTGGGCAGAGGACTGGGAATGGTTTCTCTGATGCCCGGGGTGCCGGTTCCCGCCGGGAGCAGGGCTGGACCAACGCCTGTG